GTGTCATAATTTGTAGATTTACTAAAAGTGATAGAACCACTTTTCATTTTACTTAATCGGCCGAATTTAAAAAATTCTCTAGTGTTAATTAATCGGTGCTGCATTTAAAACATTAAAGTTTAAATGCACCTTAAACCCGAAAATGAGGAGAACTTAAAAAAATAATCATTTACTTCTGCCTGTTCTGTGATATAAAACAATTAATACCAATTTTTTTTTTAAGAAAAGTATCTTATTAATGTTAATTGCTATTTCAGAATACTAGCATTAAATATAATTAACAATATTCTTTAAGTGCATTAATGAAAGTTTTTAACGCGTGAAACAACTTTTTCAAGATTTATGGGATACAGTTGATTAAACGATTTATGTTGTCGATAAAGTCAAACAATTCGTCACTGTACTTGATTTAAAAGATTTAAAATTTGAACCGTTGAATTTAGCATGAAATAAATTATAGTCGTTTATCACGAATTGAAAAATATTTATTGTAAAACATCGATTCTTTTATTAAATAAATTAGTAGATTCCTTTATTGACCAAAGAATTTATTCATATTTGCGATTTATATCAATTCATATTAGATATATTATTTAAAAGATAAAGAAATAAATATTGTGAATCTGAGATATTTTCCGTTCTAAAATGAATCACGTTTAAAGTTAATTGTTTAATAAAACGTGTTTTTTATAATAATATTTTTTTCGATATTAAATATCTAAAAGTTACATTCTCAAAAGGCAAAATGTACCATTCTATGATAAGATTAATGGTTCATATTAATTTTATTACGATGGTTATTCAAAAGCAATTAAAATAAGTCATTAATTTATAGATCGATACTGAAGTCGAATTAGATCATTCCATGAGGTATTAATAAAATATTTTAAATAGCACAATAAATTAAGAGTGTTTTAAAATTTCTAGTTTGTTTTAAGATTTTATTTACTATAATTTTATATAATTTTATATCTGTATTCGTAATTAGCTGATATGATAATAGATCATGTATACAAGCAATCGACTTTCTTAATGGCGTCTTCAATATTGAACTAATTTAATAAACATTAGTTAAAAATTTACAGAAAATCTCCATTAAGTATAAGCTTACTCATTTTTACATATTATTATTATAAATTATTGCTATTCAATTATAACAAATTGCAAAGTAACTGTACATATAAAATTAATCAATAAACTGTAAATACATTCTTACCAATCTTTGGTCTCATTTAAAGAATACTTATTAGTGCACAGATTTATTTTTCATTAGTTAGAATATATACTACCTTAGAAGGCTTATTCTTATCGATTAATTTTTTCAAACTAAAAAATAGTAAATAAAAATTATTAACAAAATATTATATTTTATTAAAGAATAAATAAAGGTAGTAAACTTTCCCTTCATTCGGTTAAACAATGAATTTTTAATAATCAAACATTTTGTATTCGAACACGCAAGATTTATTCTCCTAATTTTTGGTATAAAAGAAAGATTGAAAGCCCATTATAAGGAATCGTCTCATATCGCGTATACTATAAAATTAATATTCCATGATTTCTAATAATTTTAATACAATAAATAGTCTTTGCTAATGGGTTCGGTCGGTAATGCAAGCCAAATGTGCGAAAATCGTTCGTAAGGTCGACTTGGCCTGGTAAGTCAGCAATCTGACAGCGAGCGACGATGGCTCTCATAAGGCTTCGTCTTATACTCGAGGACAAGGTCGAGGATGACCCGACCGTGGATCAACGGACTTTGTTACACGCGGCTTGTCGCATTTAAGACCGAGACCTCGATTTCTCATGTGCTATTTATACGAAAGGTATTAGTGGCGCACTTGGCCATTCTTGAATATTCTGCACTTTACTCTTAGAATTTGAAGTATTTGTTGAAATGTCAGAAGAATTAAGGGCGTCAACGTCATTTGCTTCTTGAATTGTCACTTCTCGAAAGCTCGAGATATTTGTTAACAAGGTGGAAAGTGTGACTACATAAAGCAAAGTATGTTAAGAATGCCAGGTGATGCATGTTTCTTATCCTGTGTCATTGTTAAAAACGTGGAAAATGAGATTGCTTTCGACAAACAAATGAGACATTAAAAATGATGTGTTATGAGTAATTTTATTTTAAAATTTATTACACTCTGATTGATTTGTCATTTAAATAAATTTAAATCATACGTAAAGTTTTGTTAATAAATTCATACTTTACTATCATAGAATTGTATTATTATAAAATGGCATCATTTTCTTTTCATAATATTATCGAATTTTCCGTATTATAATGTATAACAATAACAAAAGCGTTGTAAAGATTTATAAGGTCACAAATTTTCTTCAACGACATAAAAACTTTCTCTCTGCCTCTTTCTTTCATGCACATATACATTAAATTGTTAAAATAAATTAAAATACGTATTTATTTATAATTAAGTTTCTTAGAATTTGTAGAGTCGAAGATACAAAGAGCATACATAACTTTAGAATTTTCTATTATAAACTACAGATGTATAATTTCACTTTTTTTTTTTTTTTTACAAAATATTTACTTCTATTAATATTATCAATATATATAATGTTTAATAATACGTATATAAGAGATATTAGCGACCGATAAATAAAGAATGCCAGATAAAAATTTCTAGATTAAATATTAAAATTTTAAAACGCTGTATGCGATAAGGTACGCCGCCTCGGAAAAAGCAATTTGCTGTGCCAACTGGCACTTGAAGTCGGATCGTCTGTAACAGATAAAACAAATGATTAAGTTTTTACGTGACATTTTTACTTTTGAACGAAAATTTATCGATGTGAAATACACTCATCGTTGTTAACAATCAAATGTCCAATTTTTGTAAAAAAAAAAAAAAATAAATAACAACAAACAAAAAAACAATCATTGTTAAATACATTTTTTTTTATATAAAAATTTAAATCCGTAAAAAGTCATTGAAGGCTGGAGTCACATACCAGATACGAGCATAGAAAATTTTGAGATTGTCATTGCAAATGCAATTTTTGAGAGAAAAGGGTTTTAAATTTCAAGCAGCAGTTCTCCAAAAATAACAATATCAATTTTATTTTCAGACTTATACAGGAATTAAAGATCCATACAGAAAATTTTTGCCTTCTATAGTCTCTTAGAAAATATCAATTTGTTGTTGGCAGTGGGTTTTATTTCCGCCCAGATCGCGTTTGTACGTACTTATCAATTATATTTATCCCGGTTCTCGACATTCTATCTTTGGACACTCAGGCTGCAACTTTTTTTTCTATAATGTTTTCGAAATCGTCATTAATATTCCTATGAGTTAATTAAATATTGGAGTACTTAAATATATAAGTATTTTATCGTAATTATGTTACTGAATGATCTTTTTGTTTCACTTTATAAATAGTAAATATTGTGATAACCCAACAAATGGTAGGGGAACGAAAATGAAGTATTACAACAATGATGATTGTTAATAGAGTCAATGATAAACAAATAAAAAAAACAAACTTCTTATTTTTAAATACAAATAAATAAGCTTACTTGACCACCATTTACATGTATTGAATTTCAAATTAATTTTTTCTATTTTCTTATTTGTAAGATATTATTCCATTTTCTAATAAAGAATCTCTTAAAGCTCATAAAATTACCTATTAACGAATAAATACTGTGTTTAATTAAAATTAATTTATGACATTTTTTAAATATATTTTAATAAAAATAAAAAAATACAAACACATAAGATGAAATAAATAATTTAAGAGTCGTTATTCGCAGATACAATATATATTCCAGTAACCATCGATATTTGTTAAACTTCATGCAATTCTTAATAGCTCTTGATATTGGCACTTAAAATAATTTTCTATATCAAGCCATAAACTTTGTTTTAAATTTCTGTTTACACTAGTAAAATTGATTTAAGTAGTCTCTCAGCAACAGCATTGAATATTATATTAAGTTTTATCTATTAAATTTACATATAATAAGAAAAAACTTTTCACAAGCACTTAATAAGCTTTCAAATTATTAACAATTTAATTAAAAATCAATTAACTAATTGATCGACTAATTTCAACTAATTGACTAAAATACTAAATACAAAACGTACTAACAAAAATTTTAAACTAATTTTACTATTCTTTACTTTAAATAAATTTTACTCACACAAAAAATGTATCAAATTTTTAATTTCAAAAACGCTTCTTCTATTATTCATATAAACCATTTACAACATTTTTATAGGATAAATCGAAAATTTAATTAGTTTTTGTTGATTTTAAATTTATATTTTGAAATTTATTTATATTTAAAACTATCAGTTTTCTTTTATTCTGCCAACATTTTCCTTTCTTTTTATTCGCGCAAGATAAAACTAATACGATAGAAATTACACTTATTATTTTGCAATCGTGGCAGTTTTCACTTAATGAATTTACGTTCTGACATTATTCTTTTTAATGAATCGCGATAAGGTGAATGAGAATAAATTTATAACGCTTTTAAATGAATATTTTATAAGAAAATTTGCCTTGACTTACAAAGAATTTTAAACATTATATTAATCGTGCGTGTATATAAGAAATAATTTTATTTGCATATGTACAATATTATTAATCATAATTTGTATCAGGTAAATGTATTGGGTACACTTTGTTGTAATTTTTAAAGTCTTAATTATTTATAATTGATAGTTAATCGATATATCGTGTCAAAAATTATGAAAATGGAAATTGCTTGATATTTTATTTAATTATAGAAGTATCGATCAATCGAAATAATAGAAATCAATAGAAATATCGAAACAATCATATAAAAATTTCGTGTTCTATGTAATAATTGCATTATAGTTTGAATGAAAAGTGTTAGGCATATTTTCAGTTTATTCATTGAAATCATACGTTCCATTCGACAGCTTTATTAGAATATTTAGTATATTTTAATTAATATAATAGAGAAAATGTTTCTAAGTTTTTACGGATGTTGGCGATAAGATGTAAACCTAGGTCGTGGCTAGAAAAGTCCTCCAACACGTAAATAAATGATTATGATATATCCATTTGAGTAATATAAGAATCATATCAACGTAGTTATCAACGCATATTTCCGTGCACGTATTTCTTCAATTAAAAATGAGGAAGCTCGGATGAACAATACTTCTCTGTCATTTTTGTCCTCTAGAAATATATAAATAACTTGTATTGATAGATACGTATTGACGTAAATATATGAACTCGCGGTATTTAATATTTATCGAAATTAAATTTATTGAAATATAAATATACAGTGTTACCACTCTTACTTTGTTTAATGCCGATTAACTTTTTTAGATCGACATCTTGGTAATGAATAGGTATATTTTTATCTTTTCAACGATATTTATTGCATCATAAAGAAATCATATTACGTATTATAAATAAAAATTTATTATGAAAATAATGTAATATAAAAAATGTAACTAATTGAGCGAAAACACGACAGTTCGTGGGCTCATTAATGCATTGCACGCAAATTTTTTATATATATTATATAATATTACATGTAATACACTAGTAATCAGTAGGTAAAATTTGATTTTACATACATTAAAAAATTAGTCCGCTTTCATAATTACAGTGATATTGGATATTTCTCTAGGTTCTTGAATCTCATAACGAAATTCCAATCAGAGAATTTTTTTTTTTTATTTCTACGTATATGCCAAAAATAAGCAGCAGTCCTTAATTGATTTTTATTCGCCATGACAACAAAGCTTATCCTAGTCATGCGATTAATTCCCACCGAAGCCCGCACGATTAGTAATTATCCACCAATGGATACGTTCGGCGATTATACAATAGGATTAAATGTAAATACACGGCGGACAACAATTACTTCCGGCAGTCACAAGATCGCGGGATTTCTGACCAGTAAACCGTCTGTCCTTGCTTTCTTCCAGGAGCATCGGACAAAAAACGGCGGTCGATTTCATCGAATTTCAGGACTCGTGTTTATTTAACGAGTGACCGTGGATCCATTTCCGGCCAGAGTGAGACAGTCTGCTAACACGCGGACTCTCGTGGAACCGGTTCTCGGCCTTAAAAATTTGCTGGACTTCTATTAATAATCCCCGAGGCGTAGCGCCATCTTGGCGTTGGGCGGAGATACGCATTATAGTCGCTCATATGCTAGTAAAAAACAAAGTCGTGCGTTTGATTAACCATGAGCGAGACTTGATTTAAATTTTGAAGCCAGTGAGTATCTTTAAAAATTCAATGACTAGAGGAAATATTGTTTGGTAGCTGGGAAATTCGACGCTTCCCATGTTGGCGCGCCAATACACTGAATAATCTGACAGGAAAGGATTAGATTAAACGATTGAGCACGCTTCTTTGCATCATAGGTACATAACAACTTACGAGCATGTATTTTATTAACATTAATTTAGTATCGATGATTACATGGTGCAATTATTTTTCCGTGAGAGTTGAGGTTGTTACGAAGAAACGTTACTACTTACCTTTTTGGATGAAATTTTTTTTTACTCAACGAGGATAAAGTGTAATCAGTTGTATATAAGGCGAGATTTTTTCTTTTTCATAATATAAATTTTTATAATATTTATTTATAATATTAATTACATTAAGATATTGCTTAAGAACCCAATTTTTTTAAATATTTTTTTTTAATTATTATTTATTTACAACGATGTGTATTTGTATATGAATATTGTAAAAAAAATCTAGCATCAGTCTAAATTTAATATGAAGCAATTCAGAAATTTTAAACTGTATTCGAATTTCTATGGTCATGTAAAATTTTAACAATTTAATAAAAAAATAATATAATGTAAATTCTATGAAATCTCATTAAAGTTAAACTCGACTGCTTTCTATACTCAAGGAGAAAAATTACCATTCGATTATACGATATATCATTTAATGTTAAAATTAAATAAGAATTTCAGAAAAAGGGTTAAAAAGGAGGCATTTTGTTTCATTATAATCTTTTTCTGCTGGCATATACGCATAATACGTCATATTAAAATAAGAAACATATACTACAAGGTGAAAGAGGAAAACGAAGAAAAAATCGTGACAATGATTATTTACACTTATCTACTATACGAGTCATAGCATTTTTTACAAAAATTTATTAACACAAAGTTTTTCTCGCATGTGTATTACAAGTTTTTTTATGGTATTTTTATCAATGAAATTTTTATATATTTTATAAGGAATACAAAAATTTTATTCTTAAAAATTCTAATTATTTCTTTTATTTCATGGCATTTTAAATTTTATTTCTACTCTTCGTTAGGTGCATTCTTATTCATTACAAGAATTAAAATATTTAATTTCACGATTAAGTTAATGTGTGAATCTTATCGTTGCTTTATTAACTTTCGGCTCGCCATATTATTAAATTAATTATTCAAATAAAAAACAATAAAATAAAATAAACCTACAATTTTATTTGAATGTAAAAAAAATTTTTTTAAATGATTCGATTAGTTTCTACTCATTGTTAAAATATGCAATAAAATTATTGGTAATAAAAATATCCACACTTTTTCTCGTTTTTCAAATGAATTGCCAAGGTTTTCAAAGAATAAATCATTTGATAAGCACTTTTAGTAGTTTACGTACTTTACACGCGGAAAGCGTTTAGAATTTCACGTACAGCACAAAAAGTGCAAATCTCGGAGACGGCTAATTCCATGCATACTTTTAATATCAAGCGTAGCTACAAAATTTTTTATTCGACGCTCCTATCGTCAACAAATTTTATCCAAGCATATCATTACATCCGGCCAATTATACAATTAACAGTAATACACGTTCGTTTATGACACGCGGGCACATAAGTTTTTACGAAAAGATCGATTTACAGTGGGCAAGAGTGATTTGACGTTGGGTATAGCTACGTAGAGGCTTAGCGGCCACAATCGTCGCTCAATATTCATACTTTCGTGGAATAATATTTCCGAGTTCGAGAGTCAACGTAACGCAACGATGTCCAAGATACATATGTCGTAAAAATATGAGGTATGGGAGAGACGTAAAGCTTCTGAGAAAACGAGGACGAAACAGTATTGTGGACTACAAGTTTCCAGCAAACGCTGCACATCCATAAAGATTAATTTGTGCAGAAAAAGTGATGGATATTGTATCGTGTTCCACTTGCCGCTCTCCGGCGTACTTTTAGAGATTTGCATGGCCATTTTCTGTGTTTCGCCGTCGGCAAAGGAATTCGAGGATACTTTGACGTTCCACATATCGCAAATGGATGTTGCTTCCTCCTACTAAGAGGACTTTTTACTTATTGGTGATTTTTGCTTATCCATTAGTTAGTTGAAGTCCTTCTTTCAGATTTTCTACATTTTATCCGCTACAAGTATTATTCAAAAAGTTTAATTTAAAAAGCTTAATTATCACCAATGAGAATTGATACATGCAAATTACTTTAATATAGAAATGTATAATAATAAAAAATCCATTACGTGCGTGTTTGTATGTATACATTATATGCTTAGGTGCGTTAGGCATAAAATTTGCTATAACACGCTAAAAAGATTTTTGCATGAAAAAGTAATTTAATAGCTGTGGTTAAAAAAGATTTGATTTGTATGTTAATGATATCAATTATGTGTAAAAGATTTACAAAAATTTAAAATCATTAATAAACGAAATATCTTGACTCGAAAATATCTCATGACACAAAAATCCAAGCAAAAATATGTACATACTTTCACGAAGTCTGTCGGATTATAAATAATAATTTTAATTCATTACTCCACAGAGATGGCATTACTTTCAAATTTGTTATATATTTGAAGGAACTGTAACATTAAATTTAAAATACTGCGTTATACAAATTAGATTACGAAGCATAAATATTTTATTTCATTATTTGCAATTATCAATCGGATTTCCATATTCAATTGGAATTTGTATTGGAACTATCTATGAAAATTAATTAATTCTACTATTTTTGTTATGGAAATAATACATTCTATATTAGAAAATAAGATAACGATAGTTTAATTATAAAACGACACTTTCGAACGGTCCATTGTACATTTTAAACAACACTGTCCGTGCTTAAATGTAAAATATATTTTGAAAAATAAACGCTTAAAACAACCGATAAATTTCATATACACTGAAAATAATGCATAATAATTCTTTAGCATTCGATAACAAATTTTTTTACTTTGCTTTTCTTTCGATTACTTCTATTATTGCTCTTATTGATTTGTTTTTTAGTTAAATGAAGATTTTTCAAATGTTTAAACTAGCGTTAGTACATAAAGTTTATTCATTCAGAAATGTATCACAGTTTTTATCATTATTATTGAATTTACATGCCAAAGCTTTTAAACTCTTAAATTACTTTTCAAAAATATGACACTTCTATCTCGACTTGATTTCTATTTGCTCGATTTAACATTATTTTTAGTTAATGATTAACGACAGTTTTATTCGAATAATTTAAAAATGTAAATACGTAAAAAAGCTATTTCTTAGAAATGTTAAAGCATTGTAAATGTTACATTCGTATGTAAAACTTACGACTTCGTTTTTTTTTAAGCCGTTAATTATAAAAATATATTTTTCTTGACATATGAACTGCAATATTAATATTATAAAAGTAATATAGTAAATGCTATAATAACAGTATTTATGAATTAATTTTTTCTTGTAATTTTAACATAATATTCGCATAACTTAATAAAAGTAAATATAACACGTATTTGCTCCAGAGATATAGTATTTTCATATTAAATTGTCATATCTAATAAATCTTCTCAATAGTCAATATAACTTACGACCTTCTGAAACAAATTTCAAGATTTAGTTAACAATGATTCGTAAGTAGAAAAAATTTTTGTTTTTAGATTTTTTAGTTTTCTATAACAATTTTCGTCCATAATAAATTAATTTTGATATTTTTCCGATAATCATCACTTAATATTACTCAAAATTTATTAAATTAAAAAATTTTTAAATTATGGTTACAATTTACCAGGATTTCTTTCCTTATCTATGATGAATTAAAAAACAATTAATTAATGAATTATAATTATTTAAAGAACAGATTCGTTTATCTTTATACGCAAATATGCAAGTAAGCACCTTTTCGTACATATTTATATAGTTTTAAAGATAATTTGCTTGTATTTTTTCCATATCAAACTATATTATATATTATGTTGAATTACATCATTTCTTAAGATAAAAAATAATTTAGATAAATTTATACAGTATTTACGAATTAACTTAATTTACAATAACATTAAAATGAATTGAAAAATATAATGCAACTATTTATTTAACAAAAATATAAAAAATATATTGATTCTACCGATAAGACTGGATATTCACATCACTGC